TCTTGTTTCTTTACTTTTTTACAATTTAATCCTACTAATTTTCCATTTTTAATGTTCTATATTTAATTGTAGAAAAGTAATGTCACAGATGGGGGCGTAACCTGGACTACAGCACATGACATCTGGGCCAAGTGTAGGGTTAGGAAATCATTTTGTTCGGCTTGACACTCAGTCATATCATTACTAAGGAAGTTATTGAACACACTTAACAATTATTTCAGCCTCACTTTTAGTAGTTTTTTAGTGCTTTGTAATAAGAAAGGAACATTCATCATGCTCAAACATAAAACCATAATCCACAGACCCAACTCATTATTAATTTTCTGCATGCGGGTACGTCCCTAGCTAGTTGTTATTGATAAATTTTTGCACCATGCATCTTATTTCCATTTGATTTTAGTGTAATGGAAAAAACATCAAATTGTTACATTTACAGAACCTATATCAAGGAAATAGATCATATAGTGATTTTGTTTTTAGTACCGAAGATAAAACAAGGACATGTGTGCCTCACATCTTTTTCTAGTATGTGACTTAATCTTGCTGCTCAGGTATTACAGCTATGCATTTACATACTGTAAGATACGGTACATATATGTACATGGCATTGCTGTAATACCTGAACAGCAAGATTAAATCGCATATTTGTCAGGCACACATGCTCTAGTTTTAACTTACATTAATAATGTCTCTAACACAATTAATGATATATGTAGCAAGTGACACACCATTCCAAATCAGTAGTGTAGGAAGGGGGGGCAGTGGGGCTCAAGCCCCGTCCAATATTTTGCAAGGATGGGCAGAAATCCCTCAATATTTGGGAAGTGCTAAAGCAATTCAAATTAGTGCCAAAGATCATTTGAGTGGACCACATTAAATGATAGTTTAATTTTTGCACTATATACTTTGGATTGGCATAGGCAATATACAATAATTTTAGTCACTAAGTGTATACACTGTACATGCACATCTAATTTATTTTCATAATTTCTATTATCACAGCCACTTGTATATTAGATACAGTGCAGGTGCTTTGTATCCACATTGTTAAGAGCATATCAAGATGGCCAAGAGATTGAAGCAGTATAACATTTTTGATGCTTTTTCACCATCTTCAAAAAGACACAAAAAGTCTGAAGAAATGTCACATGAAGATGTTACTACTTATGGTTGACATGATTCTGCCATGGTAGCTAGTGATATTGAGCAAGAAGGTACTCAAAATGAGACTTAGTTAACAGATGAATATGAAGAGACCCAGACTGTCAGGATCATCTTCAACCTGAAGTTTGTCTTTCTTCTTGTTGTACAAAAAGAAAACCATACCAACCTACTAATAAAGTTATAATTTAAAGCTTGGCTAACAACAAAAAAAATTTTGTTGAACATTGGCATACAAGATATTATTGGCTAACTATTTTACCACGAGGAAGAAGGTATAATTCTTCTATTGTCGGTATTTTGAAAGTCAAGGAATGATGACGTTTAGTTCTAAAGCTGAATCTACATTTTCAAAGGTTGGTTTTAATAATTGGAAAAGAGCTTTAGAAAAGTTTGAGAATCACAATAATTGCCATGGTCATAGTGATGCTGTTCCTAGGCGGCAAATGCTTCAAACGACTCCTATAAGCAATCATTTAAACAGCCAAGTCAAGAAGGATCAAGACAAAAGAAGACAGGCTTTGCTGAAACAGCTACACTGTTTGCGTTCTCTTCTTAGACAGGTTTTGGCCATGATGAAATAGAAGGAAACCTCAGTCAGTTGTTGAACATGTGGTCTGCTTATGATTCAGGACTGAGTAAGTGGTTTAAAGATAGGAAATACATGTCTCCTGTGATCTGAAATCAAATGAATAGCTGCTAGGGTTAAGTGTGTTGTGATCATTGCTGAAGGGTATTAAAGAGTGTTCTCCTCCATGGTATGCAATGATTGCTGATGAAGCAAATGATGCGTCAAATAGGGAGCAGTTAAATCTATTCAGTGGGTAAATAATAATTATGACATATCTGAAGATTCAATTGGACTCTATTGTCTTCCTAATACTAGATCAGAGACCCTGTATACTGTCATCACAGATATCCTGCAATGCTGTACTCTTCCACTTACCTTATGTACGGGTCAAGCATTTGATGGTGCTGCTTATATCCAGGGAGTACGACATGGACTTGCGACGCGAATAAGAGATGAAGTTCCAGCAGCAATTTCAGTACATTGTTTGGCCCACTGTCTTAATCTTTGCCTACGAGACGCAGGATAAAAACTAATGTTTTTGAGAGATGCTCTTGAAACAGTCTGGGAAATAGAATAATTAATCAAATTCTCCCTTAAAAGAGCACAATTATTTTCAAAAATTTGGCCAATAAAGAAGATGTAGTTGGTGTGACGATCAAAGTGCTTTGTACCACGAGATGGACTGCTAAAACAGGAGCAATTGGTGCTGTCATAACCGACTATGAAGTTTTAATAGATACATTAGACGAAATACACCAGACTACTCATATTGAGTTTGGACTTCAAGCTGCAGGTATATTGGCCACTCTGGAGACATTTTTCACACTATTTGGGTTGAAGTTAGGCAGTCTTATTTTTGGAGCATCTGAAACTCTGTCAAAGTCATTGCAGGGCAAAGATATCACCATACAAAAAGCACTTTCAGCTGTAAATCCTGCTAAAGCATTTTATTGAAGGCAAAGGGCAAGTGAAGCAGTTAGTCTTTTTTACGATGGCATTGTTGAACTTGATGACAAGCTGAATATGAATGGTCCACAATACCTCAAAACAGGAGAGAACCTAAAAGATTTGAAGAAGGAAGTCAGCAGCACCAATGTAAGACACCAAGGGATTTCTTTCGTCATCAATATTTTGAGGCCTATGACCTACGTCATCAAGAATTAGAAAGCAGATTTCAGCAACATCAATCACTAAAACAGATTTTATCACTAGAAAATATTCTTTTGAAAGCAGCTAATGGTGATAGTTACCAAGAAGATTTTGAAAGTGCTAAGCTATCCTGTTTTAAGGATCACATAAATTTTTCTAATCTGGAAAAACAGCTTCCTCTTTTGGCAGATATGGTGAAACAAGCCCTTCCTTGTGTGAAGCAAGTTACTAAAAATTTGTACCATTTGTGAGGCCATGAACACCCAAAGTCTATTCAAGTCTATGTTGCCAGAAGTGCATATTATCCTTAGGTTATAATCAACAATGCTAATAACATCAGCTACCTCAGAAGGATCATTTTGATCTCTTAAAAAGGTTCTTACTTCCTTACGCTCATTGATGTCCGAACGACTTAATAATTGCGTGTGGCTTCACATGGATAAGGAATTAATGGATTCGCTTAATATTACAGAATTTGCAAAAGAATTATTGCTGCTAATTTTGATAGACTTACAAACTTTGGTACATTGTAAAAATATTAACAAACAATTTACATGTATTTTTTAGGCATTAATATTATAGCAAATAATCTTAAAGGGTAACTGAAACGGTTTTTTGAGGTATTTATTTTATTGGCTTATCATGATTGCTTGAACTTTTTAATGAAGTGTGACAACTCCAATTGTTTAAAAAAAATTAGTCACTGAGATAGGAGCTTTCAAAAATGCCTTTTTTGCTTCCTGCCATATTGCTTGCTGTTGGTAGGTGTGGCTAAGCGTGATGTCATTGGGGGCATACTGATGGATTAATCCATTCATTTACAGGGGGAAGTAATGCTTTATTTTCATGCCTAATAATGTAATAGCACTGATTTAAAGAATGGAATCATTAGTTCTTATTATTAAGCATGCAACTGCAAGAAAATGTCATACTACCACAAGTAGGCCGATCTTCTTGTTTGCTATTTTGAGTCTTTTTCTTGCAGTTGCTGCTTAGAATAATGGAACTAATGATCCCAATCTATAAATCAGTGCTATTACATTACTAGGCATGAGAATAAAGCATTATTTCCCCTGTAAAGGAATGGATTAATCCATTGGTATGCCCCCAATGACGTCACGTTTAGCCACACCCACCGACAGAAAGTAATATGGCAGGAAGCAAGAAGGGCAATTTTGAAAGCTCATATCTCAGTGAATTTTTTTTTTGAAAATGGGAGTTACCACACTTCATTAAAAAGTTTAGGCAAACATATTAAGCCAATAAAATAAATTTGTCAAAAAACCGTTTCAGTTACCCTTTAATGTCTTAGCAAGTCAGCCCCCCCAAAAATTTTGACCTTGATACACCACTGCAAATCATACATGCACATGTATTACATTATGGCAGGATATAAATTGTTATAATTACAACAAGGAAGAGTAATGAACAACTTTCAGCAATGTATAAACATGTAAAGGACTCCTTGTACTTGTTTCATAGCAATAGAATGTAATCGATTCCATATGCAAAAGTTATACCACAGTAAACTGGTATTACTTGAATATTTCTGAAAACGGGGTCCGCAACATGAGTAATGAAGTTCAAGAAACCAAGACTTACTTGTATCAATGTGTTGTACTTGTTATCGTGACAATAAATCTGCAAGATTTATAAAAATTAATCACCTGTGAAATTACAGGACAAGGTCATTGTGGAGAGGTCTGTGTCTCAAAGATGGTGATTTACTATTTCCTAATAACACTGTCTATCCCTAATTTCCATAAATATTGTGTTCTAATGTACTCTATACTATCACTACTTCCATTAGATTAATCATTAAATTATAACATTAAAGGGTAAGTCTGGTGTATTTTTATTGGTTTATTATGATTGCCTAACCTTTTTAACAATCTATTCCAACTCCCATTGTCTCAAAAAAATTTTTACTGAGATACGAGCCTTCAAAAATGTTAATTTTTTGCTACTTTTTGTCGGTGGGTGTGGCTAAACGTGACGTCACTAGATTATATGTTGCTAAATCCATTCCTCTATAGGCAGAAAGAATCCTTTATTCTATCATACCTAGTTGTAATTGAGCAATCAGATTGCAAAATAGCAGGTTTCTAAATCTATTAGATACCTCCCGGGAACACTTATTAACCTCCCGGAAACACTTATTAACCTCTTGGTTTATTAAATAAAATAAGTTAATAAATCAAAATTTATAACACCATGATTAAAAATAGACTATTAATTTAGCTACAGCATGTCTAATAATGTATGTACTCTTCATTTTTGTACTGTTATTGTCACATTTGTACAGCTCTTGAAATTGAAATTGTATGTAATTGAGCAATCAGATTGCAAAATAGCAGGTTTCTAAATCTATTAGATACCTCCCGGGAACACTTATTAACCTCCCGGGAACACTTATTAACCTCTTGGTTTATTAAATAAAATAAGTTAATAAATCAAAATTTATAACACCATGATTAAATATAGACTATTAATTTAGCTACAGCATGTCTAATAATGTATGTATTCTTCATTTTTGTACTGTTATTGTCACATTTGTACAGCTCTTGAAATTGAAATTGTATGGAGACTCTACTTCATCTGGTGTTGATATTTTTGACTTTTTAGATGTTTGACCTACATTTAGAATTGATGAAACTTCTTCATTCTGAGTCTCCGATGTTCATTTATATGTTCGAACTCCTTTGAGACTTCAATGTCCAGTCCGATTCATTATTACCTGCTCATCGATTCCGGCCTGGAACAATTGAGTAGCTGTCGTCACTCTGAGTGAGTAATTAGTCTTATATCCCTCTATTCCAGCAGCTTTACGTAATCTGCTTACTGTTTTCGATGTGTTCTGCCCTACAGGAATAGCGGAGAACCAGAACGTTCCTTTTGGTTTTGCAATCGGTGTTAGGTAAAACAAATCTGTTTTCCTTTGTTCTGGTGGTGGACACCGACTATAGTACACTTCCAATAGCTTAACAAAGCAACGCAAAGGATCAGATATATTTTCGTAATGGGTAACAACTTTTGGTTCTATTTTTTGATGTTTTAAGCCACCAGGGTTATTTTTATAGCAGTTCTCTGTGTATTGGATACACTTCTTTCCGTCAATCAAAAGTACTTTTATTAGGTCGAATTTTAAATCCCTATGTTCTTTCCTACTTCTTAATGCAAAGTACATCCCACACATGAACACTATGGTGTCTAGTAGTACATGGGGTGAGCTCTCTCCAAGTAGCTGTTTAGCCCATAGTTGTTCCTCATCATTGATAGATATTGGGTCTTTTTCTAGCCCAACTCCATCTGCTTTAAGCCTCTTCATCTCGGAATCTAGGGTTGTTTTAAATCCATGAAACTCTGGTTGTGTAAAAAATTCAGCTCGGGACAGTAGTTTCTAATGTGCCTCATTATAGCACATGCAATTGCATACAAAGTATTAGGAGGGTACTCCTTACCATCCTTGCATCTAATTTCAACGATGAAGCGAGTCATTCAGTGGTTCAGATCATCCTTTGAAGGTAGCAAATGTGGCAGAAAGATTGGAGCCTCTTTGTGATCTTCTAGCCTGCTTTAGACCATTCGTTCCATATAGCAACTGCCCATTTGTTGGTCCTTGCAGTAGTTAGTGGCTCTGAATTTTTTCGAATGATTTCAAGCTCTTCTTCTGTCTTTGGCTTAGCGAAACACTTCGTAGCTCCATCAGAGGGTGGCGCCCCTTTCTCAATCACATCTGATGGGCATGTACTTAATTATTTTAGGAGTGACTTTTTTAAAATGGCTGCAACACGAGGAGCAACTTTTTGCCTTCTTTTTATTTGAAGTGAGTCGCAAATTATGAATTTGGTAACAATGATGGAAGACATTTATGTTAAAGGACTCCATGTATATACCATAAAGCTTTTTACATGATTCCTTAATGGTTGTCATTTTGCAATGTCGTTGCCTTTCACTAACACCATCAATTCCTTAACTATTGTTTTCATAGCTTGTGTCAGTCGGCCTTTTAACTTGAGAAAATATATCTTTAATGATGCCATGTTTTTCATTTATCTCAGATCTAAATTTAAATGCAACATTAAAGCTTCTGATAGTAAGTTGATAACCTATGTCCTAACCTTAAGTTGTCCATTGTCTTCAGAATCTCATTTATGGCTATATAGTGCATCATCACATCAACCAAGCAATTTTTCTTAATTGTGATACTCTCTCCCATTTTGTCCATTGAGCAGGACTGCTGGAAATTTTTCTTTTTTTTTATGCAGTTGATCTTCAAGGGTGCCCGACACAACCTTCTTGTTTCCCTTAGCTATGGATGAATTATACATGAACCGGCATGATGATCGAGTGTTGTCCAATGGTGCCACAGTATCTCAGTAATAATCCTAGGATCATTATTTTACCACTCCATATTTACCTTAGGATTGTACATAGTCCTTGCTATCAATCCCGGGATAGTACATAGTACATACATAGGGGTATAGTATTGGCAGTGTCCCTGTACCCCATTGTAACCCCACCAATCCCAGGATAGTACACAGTACATACATAGAGGTATAGCATTGTCAGAGTATCCCTGTACACCATTGTAACCCCACCAATCCCAGGATAGTACATAGTACTTACATGTTCTTGTACATAGGCAAATTATGCAACTAAAGTATACGGACACAAATAACTTTGTTGATGTATCACCGTATTGATGTATGATATAACCATCTTAATACTTTCTATTATGCATTTCACATATATATATGTTGTAGATAAACTACAGATGTTGAGGGTTACTGGATATACACGAGGATGTCAGTTGATTTAGAAGCCGAGGCTTCTAAATCAACTAACATCTGAGTGTATATTCAGTAACACGAAACAGCTGTAGTTTATCTGGTTTGTACTACAGTGTGTGGGTGTATGAAAGGCATTGTCGTCTAACTACCAGAATTGGCAGTTAGATGATGGCTTCTAACTACCCTGCTATGGTCTACACTATATAAACTCGTGGCGGTGCCTTTGATACACCCACACACTGTAGTACAAATAGTATAAACACTAAGAATCGTTCTCTTTTCATATGACGAGTTATTCTAGAATAACACGAAACCCATGAAATGTTTGTTCACAAATTTCTGTGTTGACCTATTTCAAGAGTCATAACAACATTATTTTGGTATATATTTACTTTCTCCATAGCTGCTACTTTATCAGGATTACAATTTAATTTACACCATTCATCAGTGTGACCTATACCTTATAAAAGTAGCATAATATAAAGCAATACACATGCTGAGGGAACCTCTGAAATGCATTCTGTCCACCACAAATTTTCAATTTGCAATTTCAGTAGCTGTAGGTGTTGCTCTATTGCATGCATACTTCATTAAGTGGCAAGCATCATCATAGCATATAACATCTAAATTAAACATACATAAATAACAAGTGATAATTTTCATACCTATTGCTGGGTCATTATTAAATAAAAATCCATGAACATTTCCATAAACTTCGCTTTTGCTTTCAGATCCCATCAGTTCACTTATTAAAGTAATTATGCCAAATGGCCACAAACCAGCCAAAATTCCTAGAAATTAGTAATGAGGATAATGCCATGTAAACGTATAGGCAGATACCATGCATATGTTATATTAGTGGTTTTATAACTATATGAAGTTGCAAGTTGTGGCTTTTGATTGGTAGAGTAATGCGCATGTGCTTAATGGTACAAAATTTATTTACCTGCTGAAATTATGTTTAATTTCTCCTTCCTATCTTTCTCTGTCTGACACTTGATATATGAACTATCTTGAGATACATCGCAAAATGCCCTTTATGAAAATGAATGACTCAGTTGTAAAACTTTTTGTTTCCTACCCTGTTTTGAGTTGTACTATAGTATCAACTCTTTTCCTTTTTGGAGGATTTGGATCTGAAAATAAAACTGGAAATAAAGTGTGATGCTTTTGACCTGCTGATATAATCAACTGATCTTGTATGTCATTTTCCAAGCCTTTCCCATAGTTGACCACAACACTCTCTGGCAAAGAAGTAACTGACTCCCAAGTAGCTTGAGCTGTTTCTCTCCCAAGCCAAGCAACCTATTGTATTTATTGAAAGGCATATCAATACAATAAACATCCTTACTTGATACTAAATTTGCTGCCGAGTACACTTTTTTCCAATTATCATAGCAACTGGCAATTCTTTTTCAGTTTTGCATGATTTTGCCACCAATGGAGCATGAAGTGAACAGTATGTTGACTTATATGCTGGACTGTTAGGACAACCAGTTCTTATACTTTCAGGTAGGCCATCATATTCAGTATATCCTGCTGGAGTTGCCAGACAAACGTCCCTGTGATTTTTTATGTTTCCGTCCAACACCAGAACTTTACCACATCCTGGCTTGGTACATGTACGAGCTACAATTACATAATACTTGAAATTATATACATAATCTATTACATGCTATTGTTATAGTAGCACACTAGGAATAAAGATAATGAATGAATTCAATACAGTGAAGGCACATGTAAATACACTGTACTTCTCAATAATAAGGATATTATACAAAATCCATACCCATTATCGATTGTTTTAGGGTACATATAGATTGTATATACTAAATGCTTGCACCAATACCTGAGTAATGTTTCTGAAATGCATTGTGAAACACAGGAGCCATTGCAAGTAAGGTATGATCAAGCTCTCTATGTAGCTTTAACGCCCACAGTGGTATATCTTATGGGTACCATGAGCTTATTCTAAGCAATGCATATTGAAAGAATCCCTCCTCCAAACACCTCCTGTCTAACAAATGGCAAGGAACAAACTGCCAACTATAAAATAATAACATAAAATGCTTGTATATAACAATGCTAGTACAGTAATACCTTTCAGAAATGCCTTCTTTAGAATCCTTGTCATTTATGAAATTGTAGATATCTGCTCTCTGTTTAAAACTAAGTTGTCCAATCAGAATTTCTGCATCCAGTTGACGTAAAATATCAATTCTAAAAGCAGAATCTCGTGATGACACAAAGTATTTATAGTGCTCCGACTTTCATTGTAAAATATTTGTCAATTTATGGAATAGTAACCATAATATTGTGTGAAAGAGCAAGAGAAATTACTGCAATATTTGTGATAATGTGATGCTGGAACTGTTCCCATTTCATTTGTATAAGCGACAACAGAGTCATATCTATCCCTTCTAATTACTAAAGTGCTATTACAGAGCAAACAGCTGTTGTTGCTACTGAGAAGTGGGTCTCCTAAATGTTTTGCCATTGAAAATTCCATCATCTCTCTCTTAAGAACTTTGTTTCCAACAAATGCCTTAGAGTTAAGCTCCTGTAGATTTTCCATCAAAATTCTCTCTTCCTCTTCTGAAATGTTCTGCTGCTCTTCTTGAGTAGCAAAACTCAAAGCAATCTGCCAGAAATTTGGAAGTATGCAGTGGCGTAAATAAGTTGACGAAGGACTGATACATCATCAATGTACTTAGCAATAACCCTAAACATATCTTTACTGTATTTGCACACATGCATTTACTGAGTTTGCTCTGTAACACTTAGTAGCTCTACACTACGGCTGCAGTATTCTACAACATTGGCTATTAATCAGAGTCCAGCTTCTTTTTCAAAACAAAGGACACAAGGTGTACAAATTCCAGAAAGACTTAAGGAATGTTGGAAGATGGAGAATGACTGGAGTTTGTATCCATCTTTTCTTTAAAAAGTAAGTCAGTGATAGTGTTTAGCGATATTATTATACATATACACATAAGTTAAAATAATTTTAGCACTATGTCTAGATATAGCCTCATGTTTCTTTAGACTGCTTCAAAGTAAAAACCTTGACTTATAAAAAGTATATGTTCAAAAACATGTGTATATATTGCATCCATTCATCCACAGACAGTAGGGATGATTATTGTTACATGTAAGTAAAGTGTACTAATGGCCTAGCATATTACTAGGTTACACTTCAACTAATACTACTACTATACCCACAGATAATTATCACAATACAATAACACAGGCACCACAAACAATAGAACTATCTTGATGGGATAAACAAACATTTTTCTATGGGTTACATTTATTTCATTATAGGGTTGTGAACAAATAGGGAAAGCATTGTCAATGCCCCCTGTAGCTGTACTTTCTGGCATTGCTGTAATAGTCAGCTTCTCTGTCTCATGCAGCCGTTGAAGTAGATGGTACAGAATGGATTGAGCCTGTAATTCTTTGGCTATCTATTTGCATGCCAACTGGTAGTGGCGAAACATCTTTATGCAAATATCTTCGTCACTTAATTTTGGCA